TATTTTCTTTAATATAAAAGTGAACTTATTTTTATTATTTTAATTATAATTTGATAATAAAATAAATAATATTACATAGAATAGTAATGCTCAATACATTTTCATTCATTACACAAAATGCAATAATAATAATAATAATACACTTATTTTATTTATTCATATAAGAAATGCAGCTCATAGTTCCACAGTTCCATGACTAGATTAAAGATGAAACCCACAATAGATGCAAATATTAAACCCATAATAATAAAAGAAGATAAAATTAGTCTGCATAAAATGCATAACAAAAGATGGGAATTAAAAAATAAGCAATAATAAAAGAAAGCATAATACATTGCTTTAGAAAAGTCATTTCTAGTTAAAAGCAAAAGTAAAAAGATGTGTTTTTACCTTTTGTTTTATACATAAAAACAAAAAATCCAGTCAAAAAAAAAAAAACCTTGAGAAAATAGTCTCTATTACGTTAGTCTACACTGTAAGCACACGGCTTGTTGTGACTGCTCACATTATAATCAATGAAGCTGTCTGCTCAAGAGTTTGACGTCAATACACTTATAATGTAGACGGATATGTTGATTAGAATGGGAGCAATATAGATTTATTACATGATAAATGATGCTTGCTTCCATATTTAGAGACTGTGTTAGGCTAATAAACAATATTATTAGGTGGAGGAATTGTTTATTGTGATAGTTATGTATAAATGTAATCATGTATTGAACATTTGATGTCTTTTATCATATTTCTTTTCCTGCAGTTGAGCAGTGAGTCACCTGAGGCCTTGCATTACATTGATTTTACCACAGTGTTTTAGGCAGCCCACTTTAACGCAATCCAGCTTCCTGTAGTAAAATCACTCTAATGCACAACATCGTGGCAAGTTTCCAGAGGCTGGTCGTGTTTTATCTTGCTTTGCTACCAAGTGTCCTTTGATTTCAGGCCCACCGAAGCAATAGATTCCCTCTGCCAAGTTTAGTACAGCTGTTCTTCATCTTTGTGGGCATCAGCTCCGAACCACACCTTTACTCTGACGCCTGTCAATGCTTGTGCTGTCCTCCCTCTTGTTTTCCTGTAGAGCGAAAGTGCTAATGATGAAGGTGGGGAGGGTGAATACGTCAATCTGTATTCATCCAACCAAGCCAATGGAGATGTGACTCTCTCCAGTGGAGTAAGTAACAGCATGTCAGCGTTTGCAGCCGACATGTCGGTGCCCTCACATGCTGCGCTTGTGCCGTTTGTCACTGTAATGCTTGGCTTTGCATCATGCCACTGGTTAATTGCAAATTTTACTTAACACCTGCCATCAAAGCAACAAACAAGAAATCTCTTGCATGCTAATCTGAGCTTTTGTCGTAACCAGCCGTGACTCAGTATTGTTGCATAAGAAATTTTGCCGTGCCATGCTGGGTTGCCCTGCCCACAATAAAATTCAATTGGTTCAAATTCCTTCTCTGTATTGTTGGACATATGTCTAGTATGTATTTTTGTGCAAGATTTTGCATGCAGTGTAGCCAGAAAAACTACCTGGGCAAAAAAAGAGGCCTGTAGTTTTTCAATGACTTTGTGTGCAGACATTGTTGTGAAATCGAGTTGCTCTGATAGAATTCGAGAAGTGAAAAGAGGAATTGTTGATTTGATGATTGTGTGCTTTCCAAACAATAAAACCTGCAGTTGCAGCAGTAATTATTAAAACCCTTGAACAGATCATCAGATTTGTCCCGATGTGGTATAATGTTACACAGTCATGTCAACATTACATTTCTGCAAAATTTTATTTGTTATTAGCTTTAAAATATGGCATGACTAAAAAACGTTATTTAGTGAAACAGTGAATGTGCAGTCTAATATTTTGGTGTTTGCATATATGTGTTTGTAATGATCTACTACAGTGCATATACATATTTACTATGTATAGACAAAAACTGTGATGTGAAGTCACATAAGCATATTTTCCTTAGTGATGCGTTGTGTTTGATTATAAATTAACAGCTTTGCGCAAATGATTTATCTAACCTCATGTTTGATAATCATGGATAATCACTTATCGATGCATGTCATGGGTATTAAGGCACTTTCTGTGAAGCTGATATATATACTACAATTTAAATGTATGGGGTCAGTAATTTTTTAAACAATAAATTAATACTTTTATTTAGCAAGTGACATTAAAAACTTTTACATTCAGAAATTTTCTATTTTAAATACTTTTCTTTTGACTTTTCTATTCATCAAATAATGCTGAAAAATGTTTCACAATTTCCACTGAAATATAAAGCAACACATAATAATAAGAAATAATAACAACAATAAGAAATGTTTCTTGAGAACCAAATCATATTGGAACAATTTCTGAAGGATCATGTGACACTGAAGACTGGAGTAATGGCTGCTGGCAGCTTTACCATCCCAGGAATAAATTACATTTTAAAATGTATTTAAATAGAAAACTGTTATTTTTAAATATTATTGTTATTATTTCACAATATTACTGTTTTTACTGTATTTTCTGATCAAATAAATGCAGCCTTGGTGAGCATAAGAGACTTCTTTCCCCCAAAAAAACTTTCTGACCTCAAACTTTTTCACAGTAGTGTATATAGTTATTCAGTGACTTTACTAAATTGTAATGTGTTATCAATATGCCCCAATCCTGTGTTGAATGTTTTGTGAAATGCAGAACTATCACCTTGTGCTCTTCCCTGTATTTTGCATTTTATTAAAATGTAAAATCCTGCTGTCCTGTTACTGTGAAGCATTTAGCCAGAGACGTCTCTTTTTCGCCCCATTCTTCTCTGGATGGAATGATGATCCTAATAGTACTTAAATATTTTTTCTGTCATTGCCAGGACTCTTCTTGTGGTGCTGAGGACTCACTCCAGGACTCGGCTTCAGAACACAGCAAAGATCCAGCTGACAGAGAGGGGTAACATTCATTGCTTTAAAGAAATACCTCAGAAATCTTTTTATGATACGGCGTTTATTTTCTCCCACCGGAAAATGCCTTTTCTTCCATGTTTTGTACTTTTGATAAGCTATCCTCTCATTGACAGCTGGAAGCAGAAGTGTGTGGACTCAGAGTTGACTTCAGAAGACGTGGATGAGCTCTACCTGATAGACCACGATGAGATAATGTCTCGGTTAACATTAAAGCAAGAGGTAAAACTTATGAGAAACAGAAATGGCAATCTTTAATTTTAGAAGCTTATATCTTGATTTGCATTGGTTGCAATGATGATCAGAGCGCGTGTGCTCTCTGCTGCCCTCTGCCTGTGAATTAAAGCCACTGCAGTGCCGCTGTGGCGAACCCCAGAGTTGAAGTACATGTGAAATACTGCTGTTCACACTGCAAGGTCAGACCTACTGTAGAGAGCATCTCCGCTGAATTAATACATGAGAGAGTTAATAAGTGGACCACTTGTACTCTGCAGTAAGACAGGAAATGTGACTCTAGTGAGCAGACATGCTGCTTCCTGTTCCATTCTGCTTTTGAAAACAAGAACGTGTCTTGAAATGAAACATCCTGACATCTCAACATGTGTTGAGGTTCAGCTGATCCTAAGTATATAGGGCTTCCTGAGGACCAACTGGTTGTTCAACTAGTAGATTTTGAAAATATTATTTTGCACATGCCTCTAAGAAGTTATATTTAGGAGCTGATTACATGAAAAGCTTTAACTTTGACCTGCTTGTCGAAAACTGCATAATCCTAATCTGTGTTTCTCAGAATGATGACGGCCCTGATGTCAGAGCTGGATCAGGCGATATTTTATTAGTTCATGCCACCGAAACAGATCGCAAAGGTAAGAATAAAATGTAGAATAAGAATAAAATGCATCATCCAGGTGGATGCTGCACACTGGTGGTGGTTGATGAGAGACCCCCTCATATGATTGTAAAGCGCTTTGGGTGTACAGCAACACACAATAAAGCGCTGTATAAATGCCTCATTCATTCAAGTATAATCTCTTCTAATCTGAAGGAGTCCATTATTTTGTGTTAAATGTTTATTTATTTAATAACACATGCATTAAACAAAAAATGTAGCATTTCAACTACCGTTCAAAAGTTTGAGGTCAGTCAAAAATGTTTAAAGAAATTAATACTTTTATTTAGGATGTATTTAAATGATCAAATGTGACGTTTACATTGTTAAAATCTGTTTCATTTAATGTATCACGGTTTCCACAAAAATAATAAGCAACACAATTTAATGTTTTCAAAACGTTGATAAAATTAAGAAATGTTTCTTGAGCAGCAAATCATCATATCAGAATGATTTCTAAATGTTCATGTGACACTAAAGTCTGGAGTAATGACGCTGAAAATTCAGCTTTGCTATCACAGGAATAAATTACATTTTCAAATATATTCAAATAGAAAACAGTTATTTTAAAGTGCAATAATATTTTAAAATATTACTGTTTTTAATGTATTTTTTGACACCAAATTTTGAACGGTGGTGTAATTTATTTATATTTCTCATTTTTAAATCTTAACCTATAATAATGATTAAATAAATGTATCTTATGTTCTCTTTTGTAGATCGGGTTTTATACTGTGAAGCTTTTTTGACCACATACCGAACGTTTCTAACCCCAGAGGACCTAATTAAAAAGCTCCGCCATAGATATCCTTTCTGAGGGTGCAGGAGGGCACTTTATAAATCTTTGCATTGCTAACCTTTTTACACTCCAAGCTTCTTTTCGCCCTTAACTCTGAACACATTTACCAGATTTTCTCTCAGCTCTGACATTATCAAACAACGAGCTAGTAAAAACACATTCTTCGTGCTGGTGCGCGTCGTGGATGAGCTTTGGTGAGCTGGAACTCAGATTTTCCTTGATGATATGCTGTTTTGCCATAATCTGGCCACATACAAGGTTGGAATACCATAATATAAGAAGATTACAGCTCAAGTTCTGAAGGCACTTATGCAGTTACTCCACACTAGTTACTCTGAGGCCCATGTGATGACACAAGAAACTGTAAACACATGTACAGTTTAACATTTGTTGACATAACATGTAAACATTTGCCACAAAAATGTAGTAGATGTAAACAACATTTCAAATATTGTTCTACAAATAATTGTGCCTCAGTTTTTTAAGCTAGTAGTTATTTACGGTTTCATATGTGAAATCTGCAAGTGACTTGTTGTTGCCTGTGAAGCATATTTGAATATGAACTCTTATTCATATGTCATCAGTTTGGTGGAGCTGACAGAAGACATCCTGAAGCAGCTCATGGAGCTTGTGTTCAATCTGTTGTGTAACGGTGAGCTCACCCTGGCCCGGGTTCTGCGCAAGAACATCCTAGATAAAGTCCAGCAGAAGAAGTTGCTGCAGTACACTAATTCCCTCAAAACGCTGGCTGCACGAGGTGTGGCCGCCAGGTAATGCTCACCTAAATCATCTTTCTTTTAAAAATGGATCATTTAGAGTGAAGTTAAGTGATTTTGACTTTGTTAACAGGCCCGGCACTCTGCACGACTTCCGTAGCCATGAGATTGCAGACCAGCTGACTCTCCTCGATGCAGAGCTGTTTTATACGATAGAGGTACGACTTCTCTAATGTTATTCATCATGCTTTCTATCTTGAAAGATTCCAGATTTTCCAACACGTTTTTCCTGTCTTTCTGCAGATCCCAGAGGTGTTACTTTGGGCAAAGGAACAGAATGAGGAAAAGAGCCCCAATCTGACCCAGTTCACAGAGCACTTCAACAACATGTCATACTGGTATGATGCTCTGATTCTCAAGCTGGTGTAAAACTTTCAGCGTTTAAGAAAAGAAACATCAGGTGCCACAGTATAGCCAGAAAACTAGTCTTACGAAACTGGTCCATATTACAGCTTATTCTGCAAGAACCTCACACTTGGCTTGTTTGGTTCGATTAGAACGAACCCTGGTGCGATTGCTCTGTTAGTGCGGTTCATTTGAGCATGTGTGAACACTGCCATCCGAACCAAACAACGGTGCACACCAAACAAGCGGACCGAGTCCGCTAAAAAAGATGGGTCTCGGTCCGCTTCCAAATGAACTCTGGTGCGGTTCGAATGATATATGAACGCAACACGGATGCAATACTTCTAAACGAACCAAAAACAGGAAGTAATGACAAGATGCGACGCTATGCGACATGATTTGACGACGCTGTGTAACCAAAACAAAATGAGCAGAGGGCAGTCGTGGAGCAACGATGAGGTAAAGTATGACCTCCTTGTGAGTTTGCAGGTGGTGAAAATAAAATTATATGTACACACAAAAATGAGCGCGTTTAGTCCAGCAGACAGCATTAGGTGTGTTCGACTTAAAGCAGCGCGGAGCAGACCGATCGGTTAATGGGTGCTTTGATATCATACACCCGCAGCGCCGCTTTAAGTCTAACGCACCTTTTGTTTGGGGTGTTCGGTGAGTTCCATCACGATATATACGTCATTCAAGCCGACCAATCAGGTTGTGAACGTATCACTATGCCTTTAGGTTCGGTGTCTTTAGGTTCGCTGTCAAAAATGCCAATGTGAACGCTTAGCGGACCAGGACCCAATGTATTATTTTCGTTTTTGGTCCGGACCAAACAAACCGAACTCCAAGTGTGAACACACCCTTAGACTCTGTCTATGTCTGGTGACAACTTCCCTATATGATACAAAAAATTTTTTTATTGCATTCATATAAATCTCAACCTAAAATCTTATGTTGATGGAGAAAAAATGGTTTATGGACACGCTAATAAGTATACAGTACATTATATATTTTAATCTCTCTTTTTAAGGGTTCGCTCCTTAATAATCCAGCAAGAGAAAGCCCAGGATCGGGAAAAACTACTTCTAAAGTTTATCAAAATAATGAAGGTACAAACTAATTTCATTCTTCCAAACTTAATCTAATCTGAATCTAATCTAAATGAACCTGTGTCTCTTTGTAATTTAGCACTTAAGAAAACTCAATAACTTCAACTCCTACTTGGCAATATTATCAGCGCTGGATTCGGCGCCTATCAGAAGACTGGAATGGCAGAAGCAAACATCAGAGGTAAATCACAAACTCCAGAGCTGGGTAGATGACTTACAAATTGTAGTCTGTTACTGATTACAGATTACATGATGAAAACTGTAGTTAGTAACATAATCTAGGTTACTCACTTTAGGTAATGTATTCTTTAGTAGACTTTTTTTTATTAAACTTGTTTTAATTTACCATTAAACATACCATATTGATATAAAAAAGCAAAGAGAGAGAAAATATGTTCCTTGAAATATTTCTTTCTTTCTTTCTGTCTGTCGACAAAGCTGAATGGGATTTTTAGAAAGGAAAAAAAGTTAGGGAGAATCAATAAATTATGAATAATTTACTGCCATTGTGGGAATAATATGTAATCATAAAAATTACATATTACATACACATATTACATACACCATAAAAAGTAACAGTAATCAGATTATGAGCATTTTAAAATGTAATATACTTGAATTACAAGTACTTAATTTTTGGACTCTGATTATGTAATCCAGATTACATGTAATCAGTTACTACCCAGCACTGCCTGTCTCTATATTATTGTAGTGCTCAGTCGATCGTCACAGTAACTGATATCTGTTATCTTCACAGGGTTTGGAGGAATATTGCACTTTAATTGACAGTTCCTCCTCCTTCCGGGTGTACAGAGCAGCTTTGGCAGATGTGGAGCCTCCATGTATACCATATCTGTAAGAACAGATGATAAAAATTAAAAAGCACATTTTGTATTGCTTGTAAAATGTCATATTCATCTTTAACGACTCTTTCCCCTGTTTTGCCACAAAATACAGAGGTCTCATCCTCCAGGACCTAACTTTTGTGCATCTTGGGAATCCTGACCTCATTGATGGAAAGATCAACTTTTCCAAACGCTGGCAGCAGTTCAATATCCTGGACACTATGAGGCGCTTCCAGCAAGTGTGAGTACTTGGACAACCCCTTTGACATTCATAATCAAGTGAAAACAAAATATGCAGGACTTGTTTTTATCTATTCAAATTGTATTAGATTGTGAAAATGTGGCTGGGACATTGTTGGTTGTTGGTGGTAACCTACAGATGTCTTTTTAATAGATGTCTCTTCACATTTTATATTTTCTCAGCTTCAAATGAAGCTTTTTGCATGACTTCTACTTCTCTTTCTTCCAGGCACTATGACCTCAAACACAATGACGACATTGTGTCATTCTTCAACGACTTCAGTGACCATCTAGCTGAAGAGGCATTGTGGGAGCTCTCTTTGAAGATCAAGCCTCGCAACATCACTCGCCGGAAAACAGAACGAGAGGAAAGGACGTAGCTTGCTCGGCTAGAACAACAAACTGCTTTTAAAAGCCACTCTCCTCTGAAGTTGCAAGACACAGCAATCACAAATTACTGTAATGGCAGCTACGAGACTGGAAACGATACTGTATTTCTGTTACAGTTTACTGAAACCTTTTTATTTATTTATTTTTTGCAAAAAAAAACGTGATTCGATTTTATTTTGTAATTGCACTGCGTCTGAACCTGTGTGTAAATTTGAAGTGGAACAGTGGCAAGTGAGAAGACAGAAAACATGACTCTATGTCAGATTACGGGGTTTGAGATCGTAACCTGGGATTTATGGTGATATTCCATGACCGTCTCGCCATCTGGATGTTTGCGGTGCAATCTAGAAAAACAACTGCGACTCCAGCTGCAAACTAATACCATGATGCCTCAGTGGGCACTTTGGATGTGGAAGTTCCTTGAAGACTGATATTTTTATTTATTTATTTTGTATGTTACAAATGCACATAAAGACTCTTTGGGTTTAGGGGGATTGCTGTAAATTCAGCTGCTGGATTGAACAGCTTGAAGCATGTATGATAATAGGTCATTATGAGGAGACACAGTCTCAGTAATTAATAGCACTCATCAGGATTTTGTTGCTTATTTTCTGCAAGATTAACACAGTATCCAGCTGAACTCAAAAAGGAGCTTTTCTGGATTTGATTTTGTTACTAAAATTCTTTGAGCAAGAGTGTGCCAATTTTAATGTGTATCAAGTTCCCGTTTCCCACATGGGATAATTCAGACTCTTTATCCCACGATTTGGACTTTCTCACAGTTCTGAGAAAAAAAAAAAAAAAGTCAGAATTGCAATTCCAAGTCTTACAATTGACTTTTTTTTTTTTTTTTTAGAATTCTGAGTTTGTTTGTTTTTCTTTGTTTTTCCCCATGGAATAAATTTTTTTTAAAAAGATAATTGTGACTTTTATCTCACAGTTCTGAATTATAAAATAGTCAGAATTGTGAGATATAATCTTTTGCCCTGTAAATAACTAAATTTTAATGATTCTGTTTATATTAAACTCATCCTTATAATTTTAGCAATTTGAGGCCTATTTAAAATCAGTTGTCTTCCGATTACAAATAATTGCTGATAATCAGGGAAACTCATTATTTTGTTAATTCGTGCATGTTATTTATTTGTGTATTTATGTGTAGATAAAGGAAGGTGCGTCTTCTCCTGTGTGGTTTTTGCAAGAAAGATTTTAGGAGTTGTTACAACTGTTTGTAAGGTACATTTCAATACTTTTCATTTTTTTGTAGATCTCCCAGAGCCATCGCAATGATCAAAGACCTACTATCAAGTGCTTGAAGCTGTTCATAAAGTGGTGTAAGTGTGATTTATGTTATACAATGCAGTTTTCCTTTTGTTTTTTTTAAAGGATTTTACTTGGACGTTTGCAGAGAGATTTACTCTGTTGTGAGATGTGATCAAATGTGCACTTTGAAGTTGATTGTGGGAAGCAAAGATTAAAAACTGTTAGGTAACAGTTTGAAGTGGACATGCGTATGAGCCTGAACCCCTGCAACGATGCTTACACAGGGACCTTTTCTTACCTGCGAATTGGACTGAAGTTGGTTTAAAAATTCCAAAGAGCCCAGACCATAGATCATCACTGTTTGAACATGATGATGATTCAGTTGCATATAACATACAACTGACATGTACCTCTGTACACATAACCCTGTGAAACCTGGTAAAATAATATACATATCATCAATGTCTTTGTTTTTTGTGTGTGTGGGATCCATTTGTTTTGGTTAGGGGACACATAGAATTTAAAGCTGTGACGAAAAAAAATCTGTGCGTGAATAATTAAAAATGTATTTAAGGTATATAAAACGATGTATTTTGGAAGTAGTTTGTCGTATATGAGAACACAATTATGTAGATAGCATTACCCAATCAAGAATTTCTCCGATAACCAACAACTCGAGTCCAACCTCATCTGCTAAGCCAATACAAAATGAATAATCAAGTTATTAGATGTTTCTTACAAGCTGAAATAAATAAATATTGATGGTTCATATGAGTGCATTTAATTATACTGATCTTAAGATAACTGTAATTACAATCAACTTTTGTTTTTTTTTAGGTCTTTCTTGTAAACTAGCGTAGATTTACACATTTAATGTAAAAATAATGTAGGTAACACAGCTCAGATAAATTGTTATTGTTTCATTCAAATTCATATTGTGATATCGGACTTAATATTGCAGACTTGGCACATATTTAAGATTTTTTTTAGATTCTTTACAGAAGACATGCGATTACTATTTGTATTGATTTATCTATCTCAAGAAAACATGTTGAGGTAGGAGAGTAGCTAAGTGTCCAAAGCGAAAGTCTACATTATCTCTCTATTTCAGTGAGTAAATAAGATAAAAAGTCTCAGTGATTTTTCTATGGTTCCGAAAGCTATAATTCAAACACAAGTACATACTATTATCTAACGTATGTACATAATCTTTTCACCGTTAAAACTATCGTACTGTTAAAACTATTTTTTTACAGTCTACGTTTAAAACTACGGCTGTCAATAGATTAATAATATCCAGCAAAAGCAGACTTAAATAATACTAATATCTAATAATTAACGTAATACACGGAGGATCATAAGAAATAATAATAATAATGTTTAAAACAACATCAACAGGCAGGGTGGAATCTTTGTAAACATCACTTGTCAAGGGCGGAGACTTTTCGTTTGGCGACCGAGTTGTCCCCAATCCGACTTTTATTTTGAAATCGCATCATTTCCTGCCGTTTAAAAAACTCTTCTCTGTAGCATTGCTGCATCTTCCGCTGTGTCGCAGCGCGTTTATTAACTGGAATTGTGCTTTGAAGTTGAAAGCTAATCGATTGAAGATGAATGTGATCGATCATGTGCGGGAAATGGCAGCGGCCGGGCTGCACTCTAATGTCCGGATCATCAGTAGTTTACTCCTGACCATGAGCACCAACAACCCGTGAGTGTCTCCAGTGCGTCACTATATGAGTTAAACAGATCTGGAAGCTGTCGGATGTGTCAAGTGAAGTGTGTGTCTGTTCAGTGATGATATTACAATTCAACGGTTTATTTATTATATGCACAACAAATCATGCAGAAACAGAAATACAGAAATGTGTTGTTCTGTAAGCTCGCTTAAAGTAAAATCGACGGTAGAGCAACAATTGACCATGGTGACCATAGTTGTCTTTTTCAGGGAGCTTTTCTCGCCGTCTCAGAAGTACCAGCTGCTGGTGTATCACGCTGATGCTGTTTTCCATGATAAAGAGTACAGGAACGCAGCCTGTAAGTACAACATGGCTTTACAGCAGAAGAAAGTGATCAGCAAAACATCTAAAGTGCGTCCATCCAGCACAGGCGGCACAACATCTGCAGTGCAGGCACAGGTGAGCTCCACCCCCTAGAGGTGGATCCAACCACGCCCCCTGGATCTTGTGTTCTGTAGTGAGGGGCTACTGGGCCCTCATGCTGGTCCTCACGCTAAATTACTGCGCTACACATCCACTGAAATACCACAGTTTGCTACATTAACACTACTTGAATTGTTTTTGCCTTGGTTTAGTCGCTTCAGTTTGTGTGAACACCATTTATTTAAAAGAAAAAATGTTGGTAACAAAATGTTAAGCGTCAAGTCATTTTTGATCAATTTAATGCATCCTTGAATAAAAGTATTCTTTTCTTTCAATTAAAAAAAATTGTACTGACCCCAAACTTATGAAATGTAGTGTATATAATAAAATATCTAATATAATTTCTATTTTATTATTTTATTTTAATTTTTGTCAGAAAATATAAAGATCATGAGCGATAGTGATACTTGTCTATGCGAACACTAATTATTATGATTTTACAAAATTGATAAGAGTTGTAGTTGCTGTGGCGTTTTGGAGGAAACTGTGGTTAACATGGTGATTTTTGTTATGACTGCCATATTTCTCATGTTCCTGTGTGAATTAATTTTTAATGTGGTTAACCAACTCTTTGTTCATCACCTACAGAACTTGCCGTCAGAGATTGAAGTGAAATATAAAATCGCAGAGTGTTACACTATTCTGAAGCTGGATAAAGATGCCATAGCAGTGCTGGAGGGGATCCCTTCACGCCAGAGAACGCCAAAGGTGTGTTTTCACACACTGTCTTTTGTTTTACAAGTCTGTGTGTGTCCTCAGTCCTGTCTGGTCCGCTGCAGGGCTTCTGTCTCTGTCGGTGAAGGGGGCAGAGGTCGCTTCCATGACGATGGACGTGATTCAGAGCATCCCGAATCTTGATTGGCTGTCTGTCTGGATTAAAGCACATGCTTTCATACATGGAGGAGACAATCAGAGAGCCATCAACACTATCTGGTGAGGATAGGACACTATCAGTAAAAATATTGTTGTAGTAATCTTTATATTAATAACTGTTTTATATATGTTTTCTTTAATAATAATTGTTTAACTTCATTATTAGCCACCACTGTCATCAAAAAAGATTAGATCCAGTGTTACTGTATTATTTATATGCATTTGTAATATTTATTAGTATTTTTAATTAGCTTTTATTTATATCTATTTTTTTCTTTTTAATTTTAGGTTTTAGTAATATTATGCAATTTTGTCATTTTATTATTATTATTCTTTATATTTCTATTTATTTCTCTGTCTCGCTTTTTTATTTCATTTTCACTCATTTCAATACCTAAACGTATTTTCAGTTAGTTGCCAATGCTCCATTTTTAATTTTTACATTTTAAGTTTTCATCTAATATATATATATATATTTGATTTTATATCAGCTTTATTTCAATTTCCAATTTTTAATAGATTTATTTAATAGTACTAATGATTAGAAATTTTGATTAATTAGAATAAATTAGATTTAGTGTTATTGTATTATTTGAATGTTATATTTAATAATATTTTGAATTGGCTTTTATTTTTTTATTTTTTTGGTTTTCTTTGAAATTTTAGGTTATAGTAATTTTATACATTTGTCATTTTTATTTTTTTATTTTTTAATTTCTTTTTAATTTCAGTTTTTGTCATTTTAGTACTCCAACTTAAACTTCATACACTTCAGAGAAGCCATGAGACTGGCGCCCTGTCGTCTGGACTGCTATGAAGGTAAGAAAGACTTTCATGATAATAGAAATAATAATTTCCAGCTATTATGTGTATTTTGTAAGTTTTTAGGAAGGTTGTGATATTTTTGTGCAATAAAATATTATAGATATTTAGCCTATTTATTTGCTGAATAGCTGTTGGTTACTCTATTGTGTTCTTGTATTCAGTCTGTCCTGTTTTATAAAGGTTAGACAAAGCCCATAATCATTTTCTGTTGTCTCGGAGTGATACGTCCTTTGTTTTCAGGTCTGATTGACTGCTATCTTGCCTCTAATGGTATCCGGGAGGCTATGGGAATGGCCAACAATATTTACAAGACCCTGGGAGCGAACGCCCAAACTCTCACCATCCTGGCCACAGTGTGTCTGGAAGATCCCATGACCCAGGAGAAGGCCAAGACTCTGCTGGACAAAGCCCTCGCTCAGAGGCCCGACTATATCAAAGCTGTCGTGAAGAAAGCAGAGCTCCTCAGTATGTCAAAAATTCACACGCCTTTCTATCATTTTATTATGAGTTATTTGATTCGATTTCTCTATATTATTATTATTATTGTTGTTGTTGTTAATTTATTATGATTTAATAATTTATTATAATTAATGTATTATAAATAATATTAATTAATAATTATTATTTA